ATGACGGTACACACATGTAACGTATTGCAATTCTGCACCCTTTCATACCATTGCTTTTATCAACACAAAAATTGGTGTACTCGCAAATCATCGCACGGCCTTCCCCTCGACATTTTGACTTGCTTTCTCCCGTCAACGAGACTGTCAGATGTCCATTTATTGTCTGGTCATACACGTCATACGACAGAAAAAATATAGTGCCAAGCAACAAAACTATGATAAGAAGTAAGAAGGCCTTTCGAGTGATTGACATAATAAACCCCACGTTTATCATTAATATTAGTGTTATATTATAGAGGTTAAAGATGAGAACGATAGTTCGCCTGGTGGTGTGATGAGAATAGTAGTGATCTGCACGCTTAAATTTTGTGTTCGCATGGTCTGTGACAATTATTTTAATTGATTACCAAAAAAGGATAATTCGAAATAAATGACTAGTATGCTGCGAATCAGTCAACATTGCTTTATACTTTAAAACAATGATTATCATAGACCTACAAAGTTCACCTAAGCGGAGCAGATTTGGTGGCACAGCTGCTTGCATATCGCCACGCCCAATCAAAAATGCCATTACAAAATTGGCATATCATAAAGTCAAATCTTTAGTGATTCGTACTTTAAAAATCGGGTTAAACTGTCTTTCCAAGTTTCAAAAAGACTATTTGCTTACCGCGCTTTTTTATTCATAATACATATACCGTACTATTTTCATTAACTTATTTACAACAAGTCTTTGGTTATCTGTTTTCTGTTCGTCTGTTTGCGGCACAAGGAATCACTTGCGGACTGGACGTTTTATTCTGTCAATAAAATTAGAAAATAAAACAAAATTGTGATATGGAAAATATTCAATAATTGTTTGACGTATCTATCGATATGACTTTGTATATGAAAATTTTTGCCAGACTTAGCTGCCTATCTGATTATATAATTTTTCTGAAATCACACTTCACTCGTCCCATCTCTACTGTCATGACATTGATAAATGCTTTTGTAATAGTATTTGATTGTAATGTTTTCGTCATTCTATCGGTTTATTCTGTCATAAGTAGAATCATAAATAGCAAACTAATCAGATAAGTGTTTAGGATAACTCGTAAAAGTCAACTTAATTGATTTATCGTATTCGAGCTTCAAACTTGATACCAGCCAGCTTGAGTTAAAAAACAAAGGCCGGTGTATCACTCATACGCATAGCTTTGTTTTCGTAAAACCTTGTGACTTGACATCATATGATACCAATTTTGTGGTGGCGCTTGGGATGATTGTGGCTACCTGACGATCTGCAGCTGTGGCACAAAATCTGTTCATTGCCTTGAACTTTTATTTTACGAGTCGAGTAAAGCTTTAATATCGTCCAGTCAATAGCGGCCGAGTCCCAACCACACCTGCCGTCTTATCTGAAATGTTGGCCACTACCGGGGTGACAACAAACAATGTGCGTCACTCTGATTTAGTCATAGAATTTCGTGACTGCTTTTGTTACTTTATTGCTTATTCTGTATTCTAATTCTGTTTTTACTAACATTGTTCTTACGCTTATATAAACGTTAAAAACAATTGAATAAAATTAGTCTTTACGGTCTCAAATTTGAAACAGCATAACTGCCACACTACCTCGATAGCAAGTTAGTCGTTCGTATTATGTTTTTTAACCAACTTAAATTTAATTCAGTGCAATTTAAGTTTCTAAAAGTATTATTTGTCTAATCATACATCCAATAGTAAATACTATAGAATTTAATTCACCACCTCGGGAGAAGAAAAATTGCACGTATACTTGAGCAACGGGCAAATTTCGTATGATATAAGCCTGTATTCTAAAAAATCGATAAATTTGCAAAATATGCCTCACACACACCCCATTACTGAACCTCGTTACATTGTAATGTAAGACGTAACAATTGTCTTGCGAGTAAGTACTCAATTACAAATTGTTGTAAGAGTTATTAATCGCAGCATTTTTAGAAATACATTTATACGTTACAGAATAATTATTGCAAGTACAATCTATGTAATGCTTATCAAACTATGCGAAACTGTACCATTGTCCATTCGGGTTTTATACCAGTTTATGTACATATAATTTTTCATTACCAATTTTACTTTAAGTTGGCGGCGCCATTACTTTATTAAATTGTAACCAAATAACTTATAACAATTCTAACAACCTGCTGTCAATAGGGTTGTGTTAGAGAACATGTAAGTATAATTTCGGACATGTGCAATTATAATTTACTTTATGTTAGCAACGGTTAATAATACAGTCGATATGAAAAATTTATTTCTAAAACTTGTAATAATTAATACTACAAACTAGAACAAAAAGTCAAACTTGTCCGTATTTTTTTTTAATTACCACTTTAATAGTTGAGGCGTATTGCTACTGCTATCGTTATCGAAAAGTCTGTAAAGACTGTGAAGCCTTTGGAGATACTTTGCAACTTCCTCGTCAATTTCTTCCTGCTCAGTTTTCGAACTTTCGTACACGGCGGCTTTTAAGTAGCCGCTAACAAAGCGTGTAATTTCGTAAACCATCAAGTCCCGGGAAACTTCATCGTGATTTATAATAGATTTATAAAATAAATACGCATTTACCGAGTTTACATTGCGTAACACATTTTCCGACGAAAAGTTGTATTTGTATAGCATGACGTCTAGTCGAACCAGTGCGTTGTCCTGCACAAAGACGTGGTAGTCGCGGAAATGCGAGTCACCTACTTCTGAACGCCCGATAAACGTTTTCACAGTCGTCAACACGGCCATTTTTAGTGCTGCGCCAATATCTCCACTAAACAAGGTATCCAATGTTTTATTTATTTGTTTGCTTAATTTCTGTTCGAGCGAAATTTACAAAAATTGTTTAGTATTAGTAATGCATTATTAGGAAAAAGTGTAAGAGAGAAAAACCAACAATATAAATGCGTACCTCAGAATCAACCGAAGCATTCACATGAATGTCCTCGACTCTATCAACTATCGTCCCGATGCGAACCATATGGTTGTTGGAAGAAGGGTTTAAAAGCTCATGCTCAAAGCTTTTCATTTTCGAAACAACCATTGTATGGAGAAATTTTAAAGCCTCTCGACTTTCCTTGTCCGTGCTCTCATTGACCATTTGACTAAGACGCTGGCCCATATTGTTGAATTTATTTTTTTTCTTTCGTCTTGTATTCTTTGTAATTTAATTCCTTATTTCAAGTTTCTGTGCTTGAACTTTTTTCTTTGCAAATCAATATGCTTTCGTTTATCTATGCTTTCGACAAAAGGGATGGATTTTTATAAGAATTTGGCGTCTAACTTTGGGTATGTTTAAACGGAGCAGACCTCTCGCAATTCCATTGCATACTAGCCAATAAAACTGCAAATGCCGGATCACGCTTCATTGCCCCCAAGTTGGTAAAATTTCAATGGCTTTTTTGTGATACATGTAAAGGATCTCTTTGTAATGTAATATGCGAGAAGATAAGAGTCGTTCAAAAAAGTTTGTAATCTCTCATTATTTGTTAGATTGCAGACAATATACACGTAATACAAACGAATTACGTAATGTTTGGGTTAAGGCAATAAACAAAGGAGTAATAAACCGGGTAAATGACATCGATAGTTTTGGCGTTGTTGTTGGCAAGCGATTGATAATACTTGAGATTTATATTTACGTTCCAAGTTGATAAACCAATAAATTGCTTTTAAATTTGCGTTGTGTCTCTAAGATTAACCATTTCAGCATTTAGATTCGGATAGATTGCGTTCGGTAATTGCCGGTGTTTACAATTTAATTGTGTCAGCATGCGTTATTGTTGATTTTTACTGCGTAGATTGGGGGAGAGCTTATTGTAACACAGTTTCAAATTGATTGTATTCTCTAGGCTTTTCAGATCCTATGACGACAGCCCCCCCGCTTTATTTTATTAACATATCCGGTGAAGTCAAGCATCAGCGCAGCATTATTGAAACAGTGATTATTGGTTGAAATGATGAACCGATTTCTACAATATACGAGCAAATTGTTTGTTTCTGTAAGCTCAAATTTACAAAGACACTGCCCACAGTTTTTTCGTGTTGGTAAACCTACTTTTTAAAAGTCTACGATAACATCATGTCGATTCTGACTAGCACACGGATTACTGTAATTGTATATTAGCAGCTTAATTAAGGAGGTGATAAGGGTATTTTCGACAGCATTTATCATGATAATGTACGACAGTTTGTCATGTCTTGAGCAGGAGAGTAGGCGTTCTATCTAACGTAAGAGCACAGTAATTGCGCAGTTAATTTTAACTGGTGGGTAAAGCAAAGGCTACTGCAAAAAGTGTTATAATAACCATCAACTGATACATTTCAAACAATTATAAGTTTATTTTAAAGTGTTATCGTAACAGTTTACAAAGTTAATAAAAAACCTGTTACTATACAATGTTGCTACCCGGTATTGTGCCAGTTTTAAAAATAACAATAAAAATTTAAAAACTGTTTCAAATTGTATTGAAAGTTATCGCTATCACAGTGTAAACATAATTACAAATAAATTACATGATATTATAAAGCTAAGTAATTATTTTCGTTTCCATTTTAATATCTGCGAGCTGCCACTGTCATTATCGTAGTTTTCAAAAACTCGATACAGGCTATGAAGTCTTTCGAGATACTGTGCAACCTCGTTGTTGACTTCTTCTTCATCCAATTTCGATGATTTCGTAAAGGCCGTTGCCTTCATGTAATTGCGTACAAAACGCGTAATTTCGTATACCATTACATCTCGTGATACTTCGCTGTGGTTTATTATGGACTTGTAAAACAAGTACCCATTCACAGAGTGGACTCCTCGCAGAATGTTCTCTGAACTAAAGTTAAAGCGATAGAGAAGGATATCTAACCTAATTAGTGCATTATCCTGCACATAAATGTGATAGTCTCGATGAGTTGATTCTCCGATTTCTGTAGCCCCAATAAACGCTTTTACTGTGGCCGAGACACCAATTTTCAATGCTGCTGCGGTATCTCCACTGAACAAGCTGTCCAGAGTTTTATTTATTTCGTTGCTTAACGCCTATATGGGTTAAGAGAGCAATTAGTACGTAATTTTACACATTGATTAAGAAATTACAACAAATAAATACTTACATCACCGCTTTTCGAAGCATTGACATGAATGTCCTGCATTTTGTCAACTATCGTTCCAATGGGGACGGTATGGTTGTTAGATGGCGGGTTTAAAAGCTCCTGTTCGAAGCTCTTCAATTTGGAAAGTACCGCCGTACGTAGAAAGCGCAAAGCTTCTTTGCACTCCCGGTCCGTGCTGTCATTAACGAGTTTCGAAATGCTTTTTCCCATCTTTATCTTGTTTGTCTCTTTTGTTTATTTGTTTAATTCAGTCTCTTATTCGCGTAAAAACTATCCGCAAATTAATATGTTCTCGTTTATGCGTGAAGCGTGGGTTTTTATCACGTCTTTTTGTTTAAACCCGGACAAAATCTCCGCCATTGAACGGTGGCTTTTCGCTAATCCTTATCAGGCAAATTTTATGGCATGAATGCGTTACACCTGGCGTTTTCATTACAGTCTGTTGTTTGGGTATGAATAGTAAAAGTCGGAGGATGCCATTTGTTTATTCTTTATTGATGGACTAAAAACAATACAATAAAATTGAAACTTTCTATGCATGACGCATGCGCTGACGAAAGCGTTTTGAGATAAGATAAGATTATGCAATAAATTGTCACAAAATACATTTCAGTCTCTTGTAATGCAAACAAACAACGCCGACAAACACTGCGGAGAAAATGGTGTGGGGCTGCATACTATACTGACTGGGGAATGCTAGATTTGCAATATATGTCAAATATACTGTCCTATTAATCCGGTAAGCGGAGCATTCATATTCTTGGTCCAGCACCTGCCGTATTATGCGTCAATTCTTCAATGATGGCTAACATCTCTCATATTTTGTTAATTGCTGAGTAAAAATGTGCGTTATTGTTGATATTAATTTGTTCACTTGCATTGTGCAGCTACAAATACATAGTAATGATTAGAAGTTCGCGAAACATTTATATCAACTGACTATACGTCTTAATTAGATTTTCTTTTCCAAAAGTCAAAACTTTGTCGTTATCTTTCGGTTGCGTAATATTATTCAAAGCAAAACATTATTGTTTAGATCTTAGCCTATCTTTTATCTCTACACATAATTTTGTCAATTCTAAATACGTTCTCGTCACCGGTGCGGATCGGGTCCTATACTGCACCCACGCCATGGTTGTAGCACACATCTGCATTCCCCCTCGATATACTTCTATTTTTAGCCATTTCTTAATCTCTAGATCTTATCGTGTCTTTGTTGTTTGATGAAAACGCAGTCCCCAATATTTTGTTTACACAGCATGATTGTGTAATATTACCAAATTTGTTCAATTATCGGAAATCAGTGGCATTTCACACATCCCTGGCCTCTCCCTCCAATTTGCATGCTAAAACTACCGAATGTAAAAATCTTATTCTCTTCTTCATTGTCTAAATCAATTATGTGGCCTTTACCCTATAGTTTATTTGGTAGCAGCATGCTAAAATTAACTTTCGCGCATTTTTGCAACATTGAAGTACTCGATCAGTCTATTTTAGAATAGAAGTAGCGATACAGCTCGTATTAATATAACTATCCCTCTAGACATGTTGATTAATGTGCTTACTAAGGTAGACGGCAACAGATTCAACGGTAGGATATTGACTAGAATATAGAGCGAGCGAAACTATCGATAACATATTATTAGGGTTATAGTGAAGATAAAAAATACAAATTGGCTTTAATATGACGTCGATAATTAGATTGACGTAATAATTTATGTGTAAATATCCTAAACTCTCTTAAAATACTCCTTTAATCATATAAAATAGGGCTCTATTTATGAGATGTTTGGCCGCGGCTTGCAAATAATTTGCAAATTGTTATGTAACGACTGTCTACGTTATCTTGTCCATGATATAATTACAAACTGCATATATCATACATGTTATTTAGTAGTAGTTGATAATATAATTATGTGGGTAATAACGGGAGTATGGGCCAGCTATTTCAGTAACATTACAAGCCTTATTTTTTTTTCATATGGAGAACTCTCATTCATAGTGGACTCTTAGTCGTGAGAGTTTATCGTACAATTAATCGACAAAAATTTTGTAAGTGTGGGTATGTTTTTACAATAACTTTATTTATAGTGGCACAACGCTAACCGGAAAAGATAATCAATAGATTAAGGAATAATAATATTGTCAGCGATGAAACAACATGCGCAAGACGAGTCGAAATGTACTAACTAGAATGTTTACGCAGCAAAAAAAAGTGTCAAAAGCAAACAAAATACATGCATGTATGTAGAAGCGCCACGACAAAGACAAAGAGTCTAAGAAATTGGGTATACACAGACAAAAATTGCGGTCGAGACGCATTTTATATGGCCGTACGCAATGAGGAAACACGTAAAATAGCTGTCTACACACACAAGAGAATATAAATTTGTTGACAAAAAATTGGCAAAATGTTCGCGTTAGCTAGGGCTTGTGTCTATAAATAAATTAATAGCATGCATGGAAAAGGGTTATTAACTTTATAGCACTTTTCAAAATAGTATGATCATCGTTCAAAAAAAATTGAAAACGAAAACGAAAATGAAAACACCGTCAGCCAATAGAATTGGATATATCACGTGGTACAAATTAACCTCTATCGTCTCAATACAAAATCAAAGGATGACAAAATCAAACGATCAGGTTAGCAAATTTAGGCAAATGTTATGAACAAATGTTAGAGGAATGCCGTAATCCATAAAGCCAACTTTTTGAGCTTTTATTGATAAA